TGGATTGCACCGGGGAAGGAGTTATGTTTGTGGAGGCGGATGCTGATGTTACGCTTGAAGAATTTGGAGATGAACTTCAGCCTCCATTTCCGTGTTTGGAAGAGCTTCTTTATGATGTTCCTGGCTCTGCTGGAGTTCTTAACTGTCCTCTGCTTCTTATTCAGGTAGTTATTTCTATCAGTATTAAATTTTGAACCCAGTTATTAACGTGTGAGATCGTTGTGTTAAAATCATGAACAGGGAGATTTTGTGTTTGGCTTTTTGCTCAGAGTAGTGCATTTTTCATGACAAAAATGTTGTGTCGAGACAAAAATGTTTTTGGTTAATTTTCAATATTTGATTGTTAATTAACCAATATACCAATGACTTATATGCAGGTAACTCGTCTCAAGTGTGGCAGTTTCATATTTGCAGTGCGATTAAACCACACAATGAGTGATGCAACTGGTCTTGTTGAATTCATGACTGCCGTTGGTGAAATGGCACGCGGGGCATCTGCTCCATCTACACTTCCAGTCTGGTGCAGAGAATTGCTAAATGCTCGAAATCCGCCTCGAGTGACACGCACACACCATGAATACGATGAAGTTCCCGATACAAAGGGTACAATTATCCCATCAGATGACATGGTTCACAAATCATTCTTTTTTGGCCCTTCTGAGGTCTCAGCACTTCGTCGATTTCTCCCTCCTCATTTGCGCAAATGTTCCACTTTTGAACTGCTCACATCAGTCATTTGGCGCTGTCGAACAATTTCTCTAAAACCCGATCCTGAAGAGGAAGTTCGCGTACTTTGCCTTGTCAATGCGCGTTTCAAGTTCAATCCACCCTTACCTAATGGCTTCTACGGCAACGCCTTTGCGTTCCCCGTAGCAGTCGCGACCGCAGAGAAATTGGTCAAAAATCCACTAGGATATGCACTGGAGCTAGTGAAGAAGGCTAAGTCGGACGTGACCGAAGAATACATGAAATCTGTAGCGGATTTGATGGTGATTAAAGGGAGGCCTCATTTCGCTGTGGTTCGGACTTTTCTCGTGTCAGACGTGACTCGGGCGGGATTTGGAGAAGTAGATTTTGGATGGGGGAAGCCGGTGTATGGTGGACCGGCTAAAGGAGGAGTAGGACCTTTTCCTGGTATGGCTAGTTTTTACATACCATTTAGAAACAAGAATGGTGAAAATGGGATTGTGGTTCCTATGTGTTTGCCTGCCTTTGCAATGGAAATATTTGTCAAAGAGCTTGAGCGCATGTTGAAAGGTGATGATGTTCCATTAGTTAACACAAATTATGCCATAATCAAACCTGCATTGTGAATTGTTAAATTAGACAATTAAAGGCTATATACATTTTGTCTTAAATTCCAAATCTTGTTACATATAGTCGATTTCTTTAATCTTCATGTTTTAGAGCGTTGCTCAATAGCAATGAGGTTGGTTTTGACGTCCGGTTTCAACTTTCAACAATTGCTGCTTGCCCTTTATATATAAAAAGAAGAAAAATATTTGCTTGACAGTCTACCAAACAAAGCTTTAGCTCAATTAGCAATTCGTTAATGATGAATAAGTTTAACCCTCAAAATTATGTTTGTACCAAAGTATAAATGATGAATAATTTTAAGCCTGAAAATAATGTTTGTGCCAAGTATAATGTGAGGAGTATATTTGAACAAAAAAATATAAGAAATAATTTCTGATAATAAAGAAATATATTTGACCCTTTTTCTTTGTTGATAGTGGGGTTCATGACTCATTCCTTAGTACTATACCATCAATTAATTTTGTTAGGGATTCACAAATTAATTAAATTATATATTTAGAGCTCGTTTGGATTGATTTACAAAAAAATACAGTAGCTTTTAAGTTGAAAAAATAAAAAAATAAAACTTATGATTTTTAAGTCAAAAAATAAAAGTAGGCAAACCTACTCTTTAATTATTATTTTTATTTTTAAAATCATTTAAAACTTATTTAAAAATAATTTAAAATAAATTTGACCAACTTTTAAGTCAATCTAATTAGAGTCTTATTTAATTTTTTTAAGGGAAAAGGCTCAAATATGTCATCGAACTTTCAGAAAAGGCTTATTTATGTCATCCGTTAAAAGTTTGGCTCATCTATGCCATTACCGTTTAAGAAAAGGCTCATTCATGCCATTATTTTTTAATAGTGGTTTTGCAAAACCATTTTTTACACGTGGCTTATTATAATTCGGCCACGTCATTATTATTTTTATAAAAAGAAAGTCAAAATTCTGAATAAAAATTGAATTAAAATAACCAATCCAAGTAAAGACCCACCCAAAATTTAAAAAATCCCTATAACCCATTAGTAACCCAATTCTTTCATTCACTTTTAATCTAAAAACCCTCACTAAGAAAAGAAGTTTCTTCACTTCTATAAGGACGACCAACTCCTTCTCCGATAAATTTACTGATCTTGTAAAGAGGTTTCTTAATAAGTTGCTAACTTTTATAACTGAAAATGATGGATATCTACCATATTATGAGCCAAGTAGAATAGAAATATCAAAAGAGGTAAAGAATTACTTAGTGCCCGTTTGACCATGCGATATAGTATCATGATATGGAATCATGATATGGTATCATGATATGGAATCATGATATGGTATCATGATATGAAATCATGAGATGAAATTGAAGGTTTGTTTGGACATGCGATATGAAATTTTTGTGTTGTATATTTTCTCATAAACATAAAAATCTCATAAGTTGTAAAACTATTAAAATAGTCCCAATTGTTTATTCAATCTTATCAAATAAACAAAAAATTATAAAATCGCATAATAAATTATTATAAAGTTATTTGTTCTCCAATTAAGTAATTGTTTCATCTAACTTTAATTTAATAAAAAAATTGAACATAAATTGTAGTGTACTAGTCTTTAATATAATCCTCCCACATAGTACGAACAATTTCCTCACGTTGAACTTGCGTTTCTCGATCATGTGACCGAGAAGACAAACCAACATTGTTACTTTGAGTCATTTGTTGGTCAATATCCTCCGCAACTATATCTTCATGTTCATAGACCATAAATATTTATCACTATTTTGGTATTCTCGCAAATAATTATGTAACACTGCACAAGCTATGACAATTTTCACTTGTGTATCAATATCATAATGGTTCATGCCTTGTTTCAGTATTCTAAATCTATTTTTCCAAGCTCCAAAAGTCCGTTCAATCACATTGTGCAGAGATGAATGCCTATAATTAAATAGTTTCTTTGGCATTTTGAGGCTCTCTTTCACTTCCTCGGTAATCTTGCAAATGATAGCATTGTCCTTTATATGGAGCTAAAAATCCTTTTGTGTTTCGGAAACCAGCATCAACAACATAATATTTATCTACCAAAAAATATTTTATAAAGAATTACTAAAAACGTATGTGACGTAAATGAGACAACTTTGTGTAAATAAATAATATTTATTCTAAGGATGTAATTTAAAGTTACCATGTGACGGAAATGGAAATTGTGGTGTTGGTTCAACAAGTGCATTCTCAAGTATTTTACTATCATGTGCAGTACCTTCCCAACCAGTAGCAACAAAGGTAAATCGCATATCAAAATCACAAGCACATAAGACATTTTGTCATTTTCTTCCTTTGCGAATACGATATGCTTGTTGCACCGTTTTATGAACCTCTCATTCTATATATGTTCCATCAATCGCACCAACACAATCCTGCCAAATAAAAAATACATCAATATTAGTTTAGTGAACATAAAATAAATTGGAAGCATTATAGAATGCATTTCATAAAAATAATGTTTGTAAGAGTAATAAAAATACTGCTTCCAAGACAATGCAAAGTCATAAAATAAATATTATCTCTTTAAACAAAGTTGATAGGAAATATGTAACTAACTACTAATAACTTACACATAAAATATAAATGTTCACTTATTAAGGCCATAAAATAAATTTATTAATGTGATTGAAATTTTACCTTAAACCAAGGCCAAAATCGAGTATTATGTCGGATTTTGAAATGTACATCAGTCATATTTTTTGGTTGTATAAATGTTGGTGCCGTCTTGCTAATTGTCTCGGCAACTATTTTAACATGCCGGTTAATTGTTTCAAGTAAATGTTGAAAAGTTTCACAATCGTGAGGTGTGAGTTAAAGTGACTATATGTTGGTGAGAATAATAAATTTTAAAAAGTAATGATGTGATTATAAATTTTATTTACATATGAAACAAATGGTTTAGTAGATATAAATGTGGGATTGTTTTAACAAAATATAAACTCATGGATCAATTATTGTATTAAACTATCTCAAATCATGATATGGAATCACCATATAATTCCATATCATGATTTTTTGGAGAATATGGTATCACCTCTCATGATATGGAATCATGAGATGGAATCAGCGTAAAATCACATGTCTAAACGCTGATTCCATCTTATGATACCATATCGTGATATGATATCGCATGGCCAAATGCCTACTTAGTGGAGGATGACACAGAAAGTCGTATTACTCGTAAGTCATAAATGTTACTTAAAAAGTATTTCAATTTTTGAAATTATAACTGAAAATTTATAAATAATTTCAGATACGTCCAAGTTATTAAAACCAATTTTCAGAAAAGCACAAAGTTAGCAGCTTTTTAAGGTATGACGATAATGACGTGCCGAATTATAATTGACCATGTGTAAAAAATGGTTTTGCAAAACCACTGTTAAAAAATAATGGCATAAATGAGCCTTTTCTTAAACGGTAATGACATAGATGAGCCAAACTTTTAACGGATAACATAAATAAGCCTTTTCTGAAAATTCGATGACATATTTGAGCCTTTTTTCCTTTTTTTTATACAAATATAGAGCCTACGAAAAAGCTACTACTAGTTTATCCGAATCCACAATCCCCACTTAGCTCCGCTCCAGGAACCCATAGGTATTTGACGGGTAAATAAAGAAAAAGAAAAAAGAAAAACAAAAATGCAAAGAGCACATTGCTTTCCGCCAGCGTCGCAAATTCAAAATTCAAAAAGGTGGGAAATCAAAAATCACTTTCCCAATCTGAACGACAACCAGAAGCTCCCATTCTTCTCACCGCTCTCCTACCTGGAACTTCCACCGGCGCACGCACCACTTCTCAGGTTCACTTCCCGTAACGTGAAAGTCTACTAGATCCATAAATTGACGACTGCAATGGCGGAAATCCTAAGCCCTAATCCCAAACTGAAAGGTCCAGGTCCATTTTCTCCGACAAAATTCGTCTTGGGCTCCAATGACGACAAGCTCGAACGCGCTCAAGCACGCGCTGCCCGTGCTGCAGTCATCCGTCGCAAGCCCATCCCTGTCGCACCTCCTCCATCTGCAGATCCTTGCCTTGACAAGGAGCAGATTCTTGAACTCTTCCAGAATTGCATCAAACTCGCCAGTGAAAATGTATCATTTCTGCTGTTTTTCACTTGGTTTTTAGTTTCTCATGTGTGAATGGTGATTTGATTTTTGATAGTGCTGTTGGTGAGATTTTGAATTACTTTGGAACTACTATTGGATACAGAAAATTAATCAGAAGAATACTTGGGAGCTAGGTCTAATTGATCATCTATGCGAGATAGTTAAAGTTGAACAAGAGAATGATTCGGAGACCAACTTCCAGAAGGTAATTTCTTATAAAATTTTAATTTCTGGTTACAGATATTCATCAGCTGTTTCACTGTCTTAGAAATTTATTGAAGCATTTTCGCCTATTAAGCAATGTTTATGAAGCATAGTCTCTTTATGTTATCATTGGAAACTCATGGGGTTGGGTTTAAACCTTCAAACTTATGTATGAATGTTGGCTTAAATATGTTTCTACGATGCTCCCTTGAGTCTCCTACACGAACAATAGAAGGCCAATGGATATGATGTCATCCCACTACATGTGTAACCTAGAAACTGCAAGCCGTGCTTACCTTAAAATCATTGCTCATTCTGATGTTGCAGCCACAAACATCCTATTCTTACATATTTGTTGCTACTTGTAATTTCATGATTTAGGCAAGTTGTACTCTTGAGGCTGGAGTTAAGATTTATTCAATGAGGGTGGACTCAGTGCATTCAGAGGCATATAAAGTTCTTGGAGGAATCAATCGTGTTGGTAATGCAAATGAACAAGGTAGGTTTTGATTTGGGTAAACAATGAACTCTTTATTTGATTTCTGGCAAGGTAATGCCTTTTCAAAACAATTACACATCATTGCCAGCTTTCCTGAAACTTAATTGTTGGGATGTTATGTTTGTTCTCTTTAATTAATTTCATTTAGACTCTTGATCCATTAATTACGTCTCTTTCTAGTTTGAATCATCCCTGAAGAATACTTTGTCTATCAGAATTTATTTCCTCTTTTATTTTTTATTTTAAAGTTCCGTGCTTTATCAAGCCAAGACATTCAAAATATTGGAATGACTCTTTATCTTTTTCTTTTTTTGAATATAATTATTTTATGATTGCGCATATTTCTCAACCTTGTTTGCTCTCCTCACTTCCTATTTGCCTTCTTCTTGGGTGTGTGCTGACGGTTTCCTGAGCCACACACAGACTTGATGTTTTAATACTTATGCCTCTTTAATATTTTACTTGTATGCTAGATCCTGCTGTAGAGGGTGCTAATGCTGAAAATGACCAGCAGGAAGGCCATATCAGAAAAGAGCAAGATAGAAAGGTTAACACTCTTCCTCTCTTTAAGAGATAACAAATGCAGAATAATTTTCTGTTCCTAAACTGATTTGAGTAGCAATTGCAGTTATCGCCTTTATCAACGCTGGAGTCATCATTTGATTCTCTCAACGTGAAGAAATTCGATGGTATACATGCTTATTATCTTTGATATTGCCTCTTCGTCTGAGTTTATCCTTTTGTCGCTTTGTAAACAGTTAAACTGTCTATTTTGCAGCCGCTTTTGCTGTAGATCCTCTTTATCATCAGACATCAGCTCAGTTTGATGAAGGTGGTGCGAAGGGTCTTTTATTGAATAATCTAGGAATCTATGGTAATTGCCGTGTCTTTTTTGATTCGTTTGAGATACCTGGGAAGTCAGTACCAGAAGAAATTCGGCATGATAGAACAGACTCCATTGATGTATCTTTTGCTAAAGGTTTGTGTCTTTGGAATTATATGTGGTTTTGGGTTCTTTTTCCATTTAGATGCTGTAAGCATTTTTGGATGTGAGCTACTATCAATTGATTGTTATAAACCTTTTCTGGAAGTATAGATTGTGTTGAAGAAATGGTGTTGAATATGCCGAAGAAGGACGAGATATCACCCAGTCTGAGGCATATAATTTGTCAATTTAGTGGAGAGATGCCAGTGCCAGCTGAAACAGATTTTTCTGACCAGATTTCACCAGAACAAAATTCTGAACCGTTTGGCCCAGATGTGGATGATGATGCATTTGACAATTGTGGAGCCTGGCCGATGGATCATGATGATGGAGTAAGTTTGTCGGAACAAGGCTCTCACGATGTTGATCAGATTTCATCAAACCAACAGGAGGTGGCAAACACACTTATTTATTGTCGCCTTCAACTCTAATTTGTAATATAGGCCCTTGAAAAGAGAACATTAAAACTTGGTATTTCTTTGTGCTTTGTCTTGCAGGTCAGTCAGCCATTTACTTTTCCTGATGCTGAGGATGATGACAGATCTGAGAGAGTTGATGATTACTTGTTTTTAAGTTTAGGATTTTCTTCCAAGCACAATTCCTGGGCTGGTCCTGATCATTGGAAGTACCGGAAAGTGAAAGGTAAGCTTCAATAGGACTTCTGGGAGGAACTTTAACTTTTCCAAACGTCTTCTCTCTCCAGTCCCCGGAGAAATCTGTAGAAGTTTGAAGTTTCTTTGGTGTTTGATATGTCATCAACATTGGCAGTCTCAGAGGAGCCTTCCAATGAAGATGGATCACCAGTAAAGACTAAGAAAACGAAGAGCAGAAAAGCAGAACCTGAAATTGATTTCACGAAAGCACTGGACACTGATCTATTGCATGTCTTTGCTCCTCCAAAGAATCCCAAGTTACTACTCCTTCCAGCAAATAGAACACCGTGTAACAGATTACTTCCAGAAGATTGTCATTATCAACCTGAGAATCTTGTGAAGCTGTTTCTCCGACCCAATGTCACGGTAACTCTAGTCACTTTGATGAGTTTATTATTTGCTGACTACCTTAAAAATACATTCTGATTGCCTGTATTCTCTTGCCTTAGTGCCTTGGAAGGAGAGGAAAGCAAATCCCAGGTGAGATAACATTTATGGCCATCCACTGTTAAAACTTTGTACTTGGACATAGTTATGGATATGTAAAACATTTATGAGTGATAGATTCTGTTTTTACAGTTGATTTTTAACTGCAAATGTTGAATTTGAATTCAAATGCATTTTTTGCTAGGTCATCTACCTACTAGAGCAGTGACACTAGTGTGGCTTAGCAAAAATGACAATTAAGTGCTTTCAATGATTTCATCTTCTTTTGAGTTGAATTTAGAAGAGTCCTTGCGATGATGTCTTTTGTAAATCCTACTTCCATATATATGAATGCTCTCTATTGGCTTCTTGACTATTTCATAGGTTCTGTCTTCTATTGCCTATAAAAATAATGTACTCCTGTTGCTGTATATTTACCAGTTTTCATAAGAAATAGGAATGTCACGTATTGTGACAGATGAAACAATTGTTATTATGTGACTTGAGTTGTCTGGTTCTTTATGTAGATGAAGCTGGTCAACAAAGTGAAGATTTTGGAGCTATGCCATCTTGGGATGATGATGGTGGATTTCCTGAGGCTTTTGATGATGGCAACGCATTTAGTGATGTGGAGGAATCAAGTACACTTGTCTCTCAACCCCGCCAGGTTTGTTCCTGTTTGCAAATCTTGACTATATATGTTTGTGGTTCTGCAATCTAGATTCCTCCAAGTGTAACTTTCAACACTTAGGCCAACAATTGATCAAGGATGATTTATAAATTTGAGTGAGATCTCCTGCAGAACTATGATCTAAACATTTATCAACTTGTACTTAACCAGTTACTACCAAATATTATCTCATGAGTACCAGGCACTTCAAACCTTGTCACTGATTTTTGCTTTTAAGAAATTTGCACCTTTAGCTGTTCTTTTAAGGTTTTGCTGTACCTGTTTCTTTCTTTCTTTTTTCTTGTGTCTGTTTGGTACTATTGTTAATTAGTCATTGTTTATGTTGAAAAGAAAATATACTTCATCGAGGACTTTTGCAGCACTAATAAGTATTAGTTCCTTATTTCTTTAGGCAAACATAAGAAAAGAAACTTCAAATTGTGTTATCTGTCACTTAGTATGTGGGAGGAAAAATGTCAAATGTTCATGTTGCTTGCTTAATGCAAACTTAAATTCCAACAGAAATCTTTCTTTGCACAGTTACTAGGAGATGTTTGTTCCTCTGTAGAATTTGCTAGGTGAAGGGCTTCTTTTGAAGCAAACTGAAACATCTATTGACTTTGTCTGAAATTACAGGTAAACAAGATTGAAGTCCAGTATGATAAAACATCCAAACAAGTAGATGTTCAAGCACTTAAGGAAACACTTTGGGACCAATTGAATCAAACATCAGTTGAGGTGAGTTCAAACTTCCTACTCCACTGGTAGTGTGTTCTACTTCTTGCTAGTGGATTTATGCATTTTTCCCAAATTTAGAATTCGTGCTTATCACCATGCCGAGTGATGGTGCCACATCAAATGATAAGGAGAGTATTATTATTATTATTTTGCCATAGATTTTGGTTCGAAAATTTGAAATAATAATTGTAGATTATTTCAAGTAGCTGTTTGTTTATCAAATTGACCGACTGTTTCAACTTCAAATTTGAAGTTTGAGTTTTTCAAGTTTTCATTAAACTTGTAAATATGAAACTTCAACTTGTTTTCATGTCCAAACATAACTTCTAACTTCCATATACCCCTTTTTCAAATACAACTTTTCTTATAATCTCAATCAGATCATGTCCAAACACCTACTTAGTGTTAACCAGGGATTATTAAGGTCAAACATTTGACATTTTTGCTCTTCTTAAATAGTAGCAAGTGAAAATAGTTGTAATGAGATGAGTAAGTGATTCATTTTTTTTCTCCATTCTATAGTATAATATAGTTGACAAGTGGATATTCATTTATCTTAGTTGGATGTGCAGTTTTGAACTAAATGATTACATTTTATATGGCAGCAATCAATTGGATGCTAAACATCCGATATTAGTTTGACTTGTTTATCATTTAAACAATAAAAGGGTGTGTTAAAGCAATTGTAAGAAAGTCTGTTAAGGTTTAAATTTTGATTGATGAAATATCTAGAAAATTTACATACTTGATTTACTCCAGGATCCAGCTTAAATCCCTCAAAAGGGTGGGAAGGTGAAAAGTAAATGAATATAACTGCATAGTCATTAATGAGATTATAAATGAACTACTAAATTGGCTGACTTTATGACAATTTTTTTCGCCAGTCTTATTTAATTGATGTGGTTCAAGACTCCCTTTGTTAAGCAGTTCCTCCAGGGTTGTTCTCTTATCATTGATCAGCATAACATTCTAATCGACGGGGGTTTATTCATTTACCTTTTAGCATGTTTATCAGACATCTATATTCTGAATGATTCACATCGTAATGCGCAGGAAGAAGGTGCATCTTTCAAGCACATCTTGGCTGCTTTTCCAAACGAATGCAGAGCATCAACATCCGTTGATGCTATATCTCCTCATTTATGCTTTATTTGCTTATTGCATCTTGCTAATGAACATGGATTACGGATACAAGGTTGTCTCAGCTTGGATGATCTCAGTATACAGCTCGAAACTCACGAACGGTCTCCCTGATGCTGTGGCCTAAGTAATTTTTTTTTTTTTTTTCAGTTTTTGGATTTCTCGCTGTAATGTATACCACTTGTAGATTGGCCATTCAAGCATTGCATATGCTGCTTGTGGTGGATCCTTTCTTTTGTATTGCTTTATAGGTTAGTTAATTCGTGTAAATTATCAGATATTGTCAACAGTTGGCTTTTGAATTGTTTTTCAGTCTTTTGCTGATATAGTACTTACTACATTCATTTTGCAAGTATTACAAAGCGGTTGATGAAGCCATTGACACTTGAATTATGGTTTGTTTGAACTGAATACTTGAACATATTTTTGTTAGACGCTTTTTGTGTATATTTTCATATTTGAACTCTTGACTTCCATAGCTTCGGGGTAAGATAGTTTTGATGAAGCTACTTTGAACTAAAGGTTGTTAGAACTCGAGCTACTACTTTTGACTTAGACGACCCTTATCCTTGGAAACCTACTTGGACTGCCTATCTTAAATAGATAACAGTGGGACCTATCGCAACCTGCCTTATAAAAGGGTTTTGCAAGCGATTGCTCGATAGGACTTAGATCTGATCTTTAAAGGAATGTTTATTTACATAGATAAGTAAATTACTTAAAATATGTCCATCTTTTTTAGTTATACGTATTAGTCTTAGTAAGTTGTAAAATTTTAAGTTTGTTTCAATTGATAGAGGAAATAACATATTTTATATGATTAATTTAACTACTATAGAAGTTTGAGAAAACACAAGTTTTTTTAAAATTTAGACCAAAAGTGTCTGATATCAATATTTTATCATGTGCTCAATTGAAGCAAACATAATTCAAATATCTAAATGAAATTTATTGACGAATTTAAGAAATTGTTGATGTATTAAGCCAAACTTGTATTAGGTTCATCACAGTCATATATGCATGATGCCTATGAAAACCAAATATCTAAAGGAAAAAAATGTGAGTGCGACTCTTCAATTGAAAAAAAAAGACTGTCGTGTACGTATCGATTGGGAAAACACAAGCTTAACACGTCTTTCTTTATCTATAATACATAAATGTTGTCCTTCAAAGTAGACACTTAAATTTGTATAAAGTTGAACAAGTAGACACACATATTCTACCTGACAATACACATAAAACACTATGTAGGACGCGAAATTACCATATACAATGCCATGTAAGACACAAGTGTCTACATGTTCAATTTTATACCAATTTAGTGTCTACTTATGTACAGGTTTACTGCACAAGGCCCCTGCAGAGGAAAGGCTTTATCCCAGCGAATAGAAGATACTCAACTCCACACAATATAAGGATTAACACACTTTCGGGAAGAACATAGAATAGTAGAAGATCCAGCATGCAGAACACGACGATCATTATAAGTTCACGAATTAGAAATGCTGAAAACATATTTATGTATTATGCCAAAAAATTATCGAATTGCTACAACTCAAGAAGAGGTCCTTGTATTTACCCTGATTTCTTACCATAAATAGGTTTTCCTTTTAGGAAAATATTTTAATATTTTAACTAGTCCTTTTCTTGTAGGAAAGGTTTAGGACTCTATAAATATAAGTGTGTTCCTTCTAACTTAATTAGCATTCACGATGTAGTCCTAGGGTTTTGAGAGTTGCGGTTATGGAAGAGAATTTTGTGTACCTCCTTGTATTCCGAGTGAATTGGTTGAGGTTGTTTCTCTCTATATTTTGTACTCTCATACTTATAGTGGATTACTCATCTCCTTTGTGGACATAAGTCGATTGACCGAACCACGTTAAATCTGTCTCATTTGGTGTGTTTCTCATTTGTCTTCTTACTTGTGGTCTTTCGAGGTTTGCTTTGCTAGCTTTCACATTACACCTGCTTATTTTCAGTCCTAACAAATGGTATCAGAACCATGGTTCAATGATGGAGCCATGTTAGAGATGGGTTTTCATCTTGACGGGTGTAGTTCTAGCCGCAACCTTTTTGACAGTAATGAAGATCTTTGTTGGAGAAATTGTTTCAGAGAGGTTCTCTGTGTCGAGACGTAGATTTGATGGAGGAGATTATGTGAAGAAGGTGGACGAATTTATTTTGTCAGAAATTCAGGCCAAAGGGGAGATTTGTTGGCATTTATTTTCCCTGAATTCTTATCATAAATACGTTTTCCTTTTAGGAAAATGTTTTAATATTTTAACTAGTCCTTTTCTTGTAGGAAAGGTTTAGGACTCTATAAATATAAGTTTGTTCCTTCTAACTTAATTAGCATTCACAATGTAGTCCTAGGGTTTTGAGAGTTGCGGTTGTGGAGGAGAATTTTGTGTACCTCCTTGTATTTCGAGTGAATTGGTTGAAGTTGTTTCTCTCTATATTTTGTACTTACTCTCATATTTATAGTGGATTGCTCATCTCCTTTGTGGACGTAGGTCGATTGACCGAACCACGTTAAATCTATCTCTTTTGGTGTGTTTCTCGTTTGTCTTCTTACTCGTGGTCTTTCGAGGTTTGCTTTGCTAGCTTCCACATTACACCTGCTTATTTTTTATCCTAACAGTACATTCCAATGAAATCTTCCACGTTTTTTTTTTGGTTTCCCACCCGTTGTCCGGAGCACACATTGGAGCTCCGACTAAATCCGGATCGCGCTCTGCAGGGACCCATTCGGGGGTGGCGCTCCTAACAGGATTTTCTCCATACCCAGAGCTCGAACCCGAGACCTCTGGTTAAGGGTGAAGCACTCTCACCAGTGCACCACAATCTAGATATATACTAGTATATTTTAGTATATTCTTAAGTCTTAACCACATGTATATGCTTGTGATATGTGCAATAATTAAGTGCATTGAGACACGACACACACCCCAATAATTGAATTGAACAAATTTGCTGATCTGAAAGCGTAAGGCGTGGATTACGTAAAGAGTCAACTCATACTCAAAACTATAATATGTCCAATAACAATTAGATCCATGATTCATCAATTCGATACAATCTAAATTAATTCATCCTAGGGCCCGTTTTGAATGTCATAATTTGAAATTGGATTAATTTAGAGTTGAAATGTTAGTAAGATATGTAATCTGAATATATTGTTTTTTCCTCAATTTATGAAAATTATCATAACTTTTTCAATCTTATACAATCTCACCAAATGCAATACACAAAGCACTGAAATATCGGCGTTGCATTAATAAATTATATATCTCTATATTTCTTTGTATAAATAAATATTTATGATTATATGCAATTATAAACTTTCAAATACATATAATTTACAATGATTCACTAATCCAAAAAGTCATCAATAGAAGTAATTATATAAATATTTAATATAATTTTTTCACATGTTTCAGCAATTTAATCACGTTGAGTTTTTTTTAAAATAATACATTATTTTTGTAAATTATAAACTTAAGAGTCAAGTTTTATATATATTTTAAAAAAAACAAAATCACAACTTGGAATTTAAAACCATACAATTAGGAGAATTTTAAATTTTAAATGTGATCTGAATTTTTTTAGAATTATTTTTTTGAATTCTATTTTTAACTCCTCGCTGGGGCTCCAACCTTTTTGCGGGTTGGAAGTGAGGAACCTTTACCATCCGAGCAACTCTCTCTTGTCATGCGATTTGAAATTGAAGTTAAAGTTATGTTCACATTTCACGAATGTGAAGGTGCTGAGTGCTGACCATCCAAGCAACTCTCCATTGTTGTGCTATTTAAAATTAAAGTTGAAGTTATGTTAGATATCTCACGGTGAAACACAATTTTTTTAGGAATATATATGCATCATTTTGATCATCAAACCATAAGAAAATTACATTAAATTAGTCATTATTATTATTGCTTCTTTCTATTCTCCTTTCTTTTTTCCTCCAATAGCCTGAACTTGTGAGCCATAAAAAAAACAAACACACTGAACTGCATGATAAAGTGTATTAAAATTTAACCAAAAAAACTGAATTTCAATGCACATTATTCTGAAGTTTGAACCCAAAGTAATTTTTTGCACATTGTATCATGAAGTTTGAACACAAAAGAAGCAGGTCTCCCTACCACCTTTTGATTTTGTGATTATATATTACTACATTAAAATTGCTGACTATGATTTAAACAACCTCAAAGGTACCCAAATATGACTTGTAGTATTATTTTTTGTTTATAAATTTTAAATATATAAATTTTATTTTTTTAAAATTTCAAAATTATTTACCCAATTTCCCATAGAGAAAATTACAAGAATATACCATTTAAGACTTTAATTAACCATATATGCACACACTCATTTTTAATTACAAACATAGCAAAAACTGATTTTTCGAGTTTTATTATAATTAATTTGGTATTAGTTTTTTCCTTCTTTTTTGGGGTTATGTGCATAATTTATTAGGGGTGTGCAAAAACGAACCGACCAATAAATCGAACCGAAAAAATGTTATTGAGTTATTGTTATTGGGTTATTCGGTTATTGGGTTTTTAATGGGTTTATAAAAAAAAGTTATTGGGTTATTGGTTTGATATCGATTTTTACTTTTGGGTTATTGGGTAAATCGATAACCCAATAAGACGGTAATAATTTACTACTTTACCCTTCCTAAATATTAGATATTAATAATTTAATATATAACTAGACACTATAACTATATCAAATTATTAGTACTCTACCCACTTCACACTAGGTACACAATTGTAGCTATTTGATTTTAGTTTTAGTTTTAGTCTTGTGGACTATTTGATTTAGTTTTAGTTTTAGTCTTGTGGACTATTTGATTTTAGTTTTAGTATGTAATTGTAGGTTGTAGCTTTTGCAAGTTTGTAAAGGTCTGTAATTTGATTAACATAAGAAATTTCATACTATGTTTTGACAGTGACATGTAATTATAGCTTTCGTACTATATTTTTTTTTATTGATGCAATTTTCTCATTATCTTTCTTGTTTCACTATATCAAAATTCAAAGTATTTAGAGAAGTGAAAAGTCATATAATATTTTACGGACATTTTCTTATTGGGTAAACCGAAAACCGAATCGATAATGACCAAAAACTGATAAACAGAAAATCGATAAAAAATATCTTATTGGTTTGTTATTGGGTTAGCATATTAAAAAGCCAAAAACCGATAAATCGAACCGATAATATATAAAACCGAACCGAACCGACCGATGCACACCACTATAATTTATGGAGATGATAGTTACAGGTTATCTCAGTTCTAAA